CTCCCCCGCCCCTAGTACTTACCAGCTTGGGGTGGCTGCAGCTCCTTGTTGCAGCCACTGGGGATTGCCCGAATAATCAAAGCTCTCTGAATCTTTGCCGAAACTTCGGAGAGCTTTGAATTGATTTGGACCTTTAAATTTGTCCCCAGATTCAATTCGGATTTGGAGATTTGGCCACTGAATTGGGCCAAATCTCCTCCGAATCGAATCACCACCCAAAGCTTCGCCTAGCCCTACTATATATGCAATATTCTATGCAATCATGTAACTAGAGAGTATATTGTAATGCATGTTCATCAGCTAACAGTTTTTGGAGATTGCATGTATGCTTTTAGAGATACCATGAAAATGAAATCCATTCCATCATATTTTTAAAGCAAATTCCTTTGACTTTTTATAGGTTTAGAATCACATCTTCCTATCTTAATAAATAGGTGTTTTTATTACCTTTTGTGGAACCCAAACAACTGACATGAGAGACTGATTAACTAAATGAATGTACTGAAGAAATGGTGAAATCGGTCGTGCACGAAGTAAGAAAATTGAAAAAAAATAAAAAGAACAGTGTCCTTCTGCACCCCACTTCTTCTCCCCCCATTTTCTTTTGGTTCTTTTAGAGGTTAATTGTAACAATAGCCAAAAACAAAATCCCCAAAATTTAAGTTGATGTATCAACTTAAAAGAAGCTTGAGAGAGTCCAGAAAAGAGCCACTCATATGATTAAAAGCCTGAAGAGCAAGCCATAGGAGGAAAGACTCACAGATTTGGGACTGTTCAACCTAGAAAAGAGAAGTCTTCAGGGGGATTTGGTGGCAGCTTGCAAATATATGAGGGGAGAGCATCAGGGGCTAGGCGAACCACTATTCACCAAAGCATGACACTGGAAAACCAGGACCAACAGTCATAAAGTCCTAGAAGAAGGTTATAAGGAAAAACTTCTTCATGGTCCTTGTGACCAGGCTCTGGATTAGACTCCCAGCGGGGATGGTGCAGGCACCTGCCCTGGAGAGCTTCAAAAGGAGACTGGATGCACACTTTGCTGGGGTTATTGACCCCAGCAGTCTTTCCTGCCCAGAGCAGGGGAGGCTGGATCTGATGATCTCACAAGGTCCGTTCCAGCCCTAAACTTCTGTGAA